TAGCTATACTATTTTCAGATAACATAAGCTTTAAAACAGCAAAATTAAAAAAGGACAAAGATGGGCACTTTATAATGGTGAAAAGGAAGATTCAACAAGAAGATTTAACAATTCTTAATATTTATGCACCCAATGTAGGAGCACCCAACTACATAAAGCAAACGTTGTCTGATCCAAATAGGATGCTAAGCAATAACCCCAGAGTAGAAGGGAACTTCAACACTCCACTGAACAAACTGGAAATATCCTCCAAACAGAAAATAAGCAAAGAAATAATGGACTTAAACAGAGTTCCTGAACAAAAGGATGTGACATATCTCTACAGAACATTCCATCCCAACAAAGCTGAATTTACATTCTTCTCAGCAGCCCATGGAACTTTCTCCAAAATAGATCACATTGTAGGACACAAATCAGACCTTAACAAATTCAAAAAAATGGAAATTATACCATGTATTTTCTCTGACCATAGTGGTATAAGATTAAAGTTCAATTCCAAAAGAAATAATTACCACTTCACAAAGTCATGGAAAATAAACAATCTTTTGATAACTATTGGGTCAAAGAGGAAATACAGAGGAAAATCAAGAGTTTGTTCGAATTAAATGATAACGGAGACACAAGTAATAAAAACCTGTGGGATATAGCAAAAACATACCTGAGAGGAAAACTAATAGCAATAAATGCTCACATCCAAAAAACAGAAAGCTTAGAAATTGACAACCTAATAGACTCAAGGTATTGGAAAAGGAAGAACAAATGAATTCCAATCCTAGTAGGAGAAAAGAAATAACTAAGATCAAAGCAGAACAAGAGAATTATACGGAAGATCAACAAAACCAGAAGCTTGTTTATTGAAAAGATAAACAAAATTAACAACACTCTTGCTAGACTGACAAGAAATCAAAGGGAAAGGATTCTAATAAACTCAATTAGAAATGAAAAAGGAGACGTCACAACAGACAACACAGAAATACAAGACATTATTTTTGATTACTATAAAAAATAATATGTCAAAAAACTACACAATAAGGAGGAAATGGACAAATTCCTGGAAACATACAACCTCCCTAAGTTCACCCAGGAGGTAACAGGATTTCTGAATAGACCAATCTCAAGCTTAGAAATTGGAGCAACAATTAAAAATCTCCCCAAATAGAAAAGTCCTGGACCACATTCAGAGTTTTGCCAAACATACAAAGAAGAATTCATTCCTATACTGCAGAAATTATTCCACAACATTGAGAAAGATGGTATCCTTCCTAACTCATTCTACAAAGCCAGTATCACCTTTATACCAAAGCCAGGAAAGGACACAACAAAGAAAACTACAGACAAATCCCTCATGAATATAGACGTAAATATCCTCAACAAAATTTTAGCAAATAAAATTCAGCAGCACATCAAAAAAATAATTCACCATGAACAGGTGGGCTTCATTCCAGGGATGCAAGGCTGGTTCAACATACACAAATCTATAAATGCAATTCACCTCATAAATAAAAGAAAGGACAAAGACCATATGATTCTTTCAATAGATGCAGGAAAAGCATTTCACAAAGTCCAACACACCTTTATGATAAAAACTCTTAATAAAATAGGCATAGATGGCCCATATCTTAAAATTATCAAGTCCATTTATGACAAACCGACAGCCAATATCATACTGAATGGAGAAAATTTGAAACCATTCCCACTTTGAATTGGAAGTAGACAAGGATGCCCACTATTTCTACTTGTATTCAACATAGTGCTCGGAGTTCTAGCTATATCAATCAGGCAAGAGAGGGATATTAAGGGCATCCAAATAGGGGCAGATGAGATTAAACTCTCACTGTTTGCCAATGACATTCTATTATATCCAGAAAGCCCCACGGATTAGTCCAAGAGACTCCTAAAATTGATAAATGAATTCAGTAGTTTCAGGTTACAAAATCAACACACACAAGTCAGAGGTATTCATATATGCCAATAACAGTCAAGCCTAAACTCAAATGAAAAACACAATACATTTTACTATAGCCCCCCAAAAATTAAATATCGAGGAATATATTTAATGAGAGACATATATAGGGAGAACTACGAAACACTAAAAAAAGAAACTGTAAAAGATGTAAACAGATGGAAAAATCTACCTTGCTCATGGATTGGTAGAATCATTATCATTAAAATGTCAATACTACCTAAAGTGATCTACAAAATTAATGTAATCTCCATCAAAGTACAATCATCATTCTTTACAGATCTAGAAAAAATAATTGTACACTTTGTATGGAACCAGAAAAGACCTAGCCTAAGCAATCTTTTTTTTTTTTTTTTATTTCGGCATATTATGGGGGTACAGAGTTTAAGGTTTCAATAAATGCCCATTTCCCTCCCTCCCCCCAAAAGTCTGAGTCTCCATCATGACCATCCCCCAGATGGTGCACATCTCATTCATTATGTATGTATATACCCGTCCCCCTCCCCCCTCCCACTGGCCCAATACCCTATTACTGTAGTACCTATGTGTCCACTTAGGTGCTACTCAGTTAATACCAGTTTGCTGGAGAATATATCTGGTGCTTGTTTTTCCATTCTTGGGATACTTCACTTAGTAGTATGGGTTCCAGCTCTAACCAGGAAAATATAAGATGTGCTATATCACCATTGTTTCTTAGAGCTGAATAGTACTCCATGGTATACATATACCACATTTTATTAATCCATTCTTGGATTGATGGGCACTTGAACAAACTTGGATGTATCAGTCTATCAGACTTCAAGCTATATATACTACAAAGCAATAATAACTGAAAGAGCTTGGTACTGGCACAAAAACAGAGACATAGATTTTTGGAACAGGACTGAAAATCCAGAGATGAAACCATCCACATAGGGTAATCTAATCTTTGACGAAGCAGACAAAAACATACATTGGGGGAAAGAATCTCTTTTAAATAAATGGTTCTGAGAAAACTGGTAACTACATGAAGAAGAATGAAACCGGATCCCTACTCTCACAAAAATCTACTCAAGATGGATAACAGATTTGAACCCAAGGGCATGAAACCTTAAGAATTCTAGAAGAAGATGTTGGGAAGACCCTTTCGGACATCGGCCTAGGAAAATAATTTTTGAAGAAGCAATCACCGCAGCAACAAAAACAAATAAATGGGATCTGATCAAATTAAAAAGCTTTTGTACAGCTAAGGAAACTATCATTAGCACAAATAGCCTACAGAATGGGAGAAAATATTTGCTCTCCACACTTCCGATAAAGGTCTGATAACAAGAATCTATCTAGAGCTCAAAAGAATTAACAAAAAAAATCAAACAACCCCATCAAGAAATGGGCAACAGAAATGAGCAGAAACTTTTCAAAAGAAGACAGAATGGCCAGCAAACATATAAAAAATGCTCAACATCTCTAATCATTAGAGAAATGCAAATCAAAACTACAATGAGATATCACCTAACTCCAGCAACATAGGCATCTGTCAAAAAATTCCCAAACAACAAATGCTGGTGAGGATGTGGAGAGACAGGAAGACTCTTACACTGCTGCTGGGACTGCAAATTAGTGCAACCTCTGTGGAAAAGAATTTGAAGATACCTCAAAGAGCTAATGATAAACATACCATTCAATCCAGCAATAGCACTATTAGGCATCTACCCCAAAGAGCAAAAGACATTCTATAATAAAGACATCTGCACCCGAATATTTATGGCAGCACAATTCACTATTTCAAAGATGTGGAAAAAACCTAAGTGTCCATCAATTCATGAGTGGATTATTAAAATATGGTATATGTATAGAATGGAATATTAATCAATTATAAGAAATGACAGTGATCTAGCACCTCTTATATTTTCCTGGATTGAGCTTGGGCCCATTATCCAAAGTGAGGTAACACAAGATCAGAAGAATAGGCTCCACTTGGTACTCATCATCAAATTGGTACTGACTGATTAACACATTGGTGCTCACATGGTATTAATATTCTCCAGGGATGGGGGGTAAACTTACAACTATAGGACAGGGTGAGCATTGTGGGGGGATGGGCATGCCTCTAACCCCCACTAGGGATAGGCAATGACATAAAACGTAACTAAAATGTTTGTACCCTCATAACACCCTAAAATAATAAAAAAGAAATATGTTATATGATATCTAACAGTGCTGTGCACAGAAGTTTTGGCACATACAGGCAAAGGAACAGAGAGATAAAGTGGGCCTTAACTTCAGTCTCATAAAGAAATGAAATGAATTGAAAATTTATACACAGAAAAAGTTCAGTAATTAAATTTAGAATCTGAAGGAAAGTGTTATGGTCTGAATGTATGTGTTCCCCCACAATTCATATGTTGAAAACTATTTCTCAATGCTATAGTATTAAAAGGTGGAGTCTCTGGGAGATGGTTAGTTCATGAGGGCTCTGCCCTCATGGATGGAATTAGTGCCCTTATAAAAGAGGTCCAAGGCAACTTGTTGGCACCTTTCCCCACGTAAAGACACATAGAAGGCACCATCTATGAGGAATGGGCCCTCACCAGACACTGAATCTGTTGGTGTCTTGATCTTAGACTACCCCACCTCTAGAATCGTATGCAATAAATTTCTATTGTTTATAAATTACCCAGTCTAAGGTAATTTGTTATAGAAGCCCAAATGGATAAGACAGAAAGTAAAGAAAAAAATTAGCAATAAAGAAAATAAATATTATAAAAGTAGGTTTCCAATAAGCTTAAGAAAAATTACAGCAAGAATTGGAAAGTCATAGAAATTCCTTCATTAGAGAACTAAAAAATTATGTTTGTTAAGATCGTTAGCCACAGAAATGTTTAGAGGCAAGGGGAAAGTATGAAATGACTTACTGTATGACCATATACTGTATGAATACTAAGAATAATAAAAAAGGGAAAATCTGTATAGGTACAACCTTGAAAACTGTAATAGCTGCCCCCTTTACTCCCTAAATAAACACAAAAGACAAATAACCAGATTCTTCTATGCTTACAAGTGCCTTTCATGCATGTCATTGTTGAAGAACATAACTCAATGATGCGAACAGCAGAAGTTCCTGGTTCCTCTGCTGGTACTGTCAAAATGGAAATCTAAAAAGCAGAAACAAAATATCAGGCATTGCTGTTAGATCTGATTTTCACTCTTCTATCATTAGTGTTGCTAACTTTCAAACTTAGTATCTTTTTCCAAACATTCCCTGATGTCTGAAAAAATTTGGTTTGTAAGGATTTAATTTTGGAACAGAATTTGAAACATGTAACATGCACCTATATGTCTTGATATCTAGTTTCTGCATTATTTATATTTAATATTTATATGTCATATACATCATGTTCATAAAGTTGTCATAGATAATAAACATTTCAAATATCTTTAGTAATTTATTAAGTCTTTCGCTTACTACAGGTTGAGCATCCCTAATTCAAAAATCTGAAATCTGAAGTACTCCAAAATCTGAAACTTTTTGAGCACTCACATGACACTCAAAGGAAATGCTCATTAGAGCATTTCAGATTTTAGTTTTGGATTAGGGACCCTCAACAAAGAAAATATTTCAAAATCTGAAAAAATCCAAAATCTAAAACACTTCTGATCCTAAGCATTTCAGATAAGAGATACTCAACCTATATTTTCAAAGAATATAATTACAATTTATTAATTCTGAAATATATGTACTTTGGTGTTTGAAATCAGGTCATAGTAAATCAATTTTGACTATATAATGGCTAAACATAATAGAGAACACTAAAAATTAAAGATGTTACCAATCTCAATGATATCAAACCGAGCAAAGTAAGTATATACTGAAATATTTCCAAATGAATGATTTCAAATTAATTTAAGACTCCATTAATAAAACTAGAAATTCAGAATCAAAAGTGAAATGTAAAATTATTACGTAATTTATATGCAGTATGCTGTCCTAGGCACTACTAATATGCTATGCGGCTTTATATTTAAAAGACTTTAAATCACCTTCAGATTACAGATTATAAAGTTTCAATATTAATCCTCAATCTAATCTTCAATCTGAAGAAGTTATATCCTCTCATATAGGAAATACTTGCCAAAAGGGGAAGCCCCATTTACACTATTCCCTAGAAGTGCTAGGCTAGATTTTGAGTGGGAATGTCACATTGATAACTCACAGACGAAACACCTACAACACATTCTAAAAATAGAAATTATTTCAATAGTCATCACTATCTTGCTTATATGTGCACTTTAGGGCTCAAGATATCTCAAAAAGTGAGTTCCCATGTTCTTTATAACCCACTTTGTCACTGTTCATGATAGAAAATGTTGTATTTTAGCATTAAAAAGAGAAAGAAGCCACTAAGACACTGAATGCTGTATAATAATTAAATGAATACAACTAAAAATGTGATTATAATTGGAAAAGTATCTTAAGGACTGCACTATCATGTAAGAACTTCTTTTGGTTCCTACAACTGTCATTTTTTTTTTTTTCTTTACTGAGATATAATCAGTAACCTCCTACCACCTGAACTATGAGAAGTTAACTGTCTTAAACTTCACAGAAATTACAAAAGCCATCAAAAGAGAAGAGAATTCCCTCAACCCTCTACTACTACTTCCATAAAATTTACATGGATCCACATCTATTCTTTCCTCTCTTATAGTCTCATGGTTCTACCTATGCCTCACAAATGAAAAAAAAAAGGAAGAAAACTCCCTATAGGAAACAAGAAAGGGAGGCCAGATGTACACTTTAGAATCTAAAGGTTAAGCTGATCACTATGATGACTATGTGAAGGATGAATTTGAAGAAGATAAGATGAGAGGTAGGGTGACCAGTTAGAAGGCAGAGATGATGAATCCCATAACTGGAACAGTGAGAATAAGGACTTTTCCTTTGTGGGTACAATAGAAGGACACAGTGATGTAGAAATTGAGGGTATTTGAGAAAGGGCAGGTCAGAAGATCCACCATGAGGTCTAGGGCAGGGAAAAAGGAAGTGGGGAGAAGGGAGACAATAAAATAGAACCAAATGGAGAGGACAAGGAATTGTAGGGCTCTTGATAGGCTGAGTGGAGGTAAGAGAGTGAGAAAGCTGGAAGGATAGAAGCAGATCAATGCCACTATAGATGCATGGCCTTCTGACTCAACTGGGCCATTAACACTGCCCAGCAATCTGACCATGATAGGTCACTCTCCAACTGTTCATGGTGATTATTTTACATTTTTCTTTGAGATCTGACCCATCCGCACTCACACACCCCCGTTCTCAGGAGATGACCTCACCTTTTTAGCAATTTACAGAATAAATGGAACCTATCAGATGGGAACTCCCAAATCTACAAAGGGTCCTGCATTGACCCTTGTTTCAGTATCTTTCACAACCCAACTAAGGGCAACACTTTTGCCTACTCTCTGAATTTCATCCTCCCTGGCCTCTGCCTAGATCTTCATCCATCAGTTATCCTCCTTCTTGCCTCGGTGGTATCTTCAACCTCTTCCTCTCTACTGGCTCCATCCCATCAGCTGGAATATATACTAATCTTTTAAAGTAAAGAAAAGCCCTCTTTACTTCCACCTCCCTCTTCAGGGACCAGTCTCTCTTACTCTTCACAGCTTAGCTTCTTCAAAGATTCGTTTCTTCTCTCTTCACTTTTCTGCCACCCTGGAACCCTTTGAATCACTCACAAAGCTCAGGATTTGACAAGAGATACAGACAAGTCAAACAGCAATCACGGGACAGTGTGATATGATAGCTGCTGTACCATTTCTTATACCACACTCATGCTCACATGTGTCACACTGAACTATAATTGCTATTTATTTGTCTGTATCTCTATCCTCTAGACTGTACATTATTTGAGGGCAGAGATGTTATCATGGTTACCAATATATCTTCAGGACCCAGAACATTGGCTGGCAGGTAAAAGGCACTCATTATTTGCTGAATGGTTAAATGAAAATATTGATGCTTACACATACAATAAGCATATTTGGGGGCTTTTGTATAGAATGTTCATTTATTTGTTTTATAAGAGAAAACTTCCACTTAAAGAATTTTAGGAGCCTATTTTTAGCAGTAGTATAAAGAACTGACAGTCACATCTACTGAGTAAGCTAATTTTATCAGTCACCATAAAATATCGTCAGAAGGAGAACTGGGTATACCCCGGGAATTTAAGTCATCATATTGAGGAAAAATCAGAGACATAATGACATTTCTATGGAAATGAAGATGATGAGGAGAAAGAGGGTACTGAAATGAACAATGGTGGTGAGGAAATATAACTGGGAGTGTGTGTTGAAATTCATTCATACCTGGCCTAATGGTGGATTACCACCATTGCTGTAGGGCTGGCTACTATAAAGTCTTTTACCCCAAGATTTTTAAATATATTCTCTGGGGATTCTTTTTCTTCCCATAACAATACATTTTCAATTTCACAAAAATAATTGTCAAAATCTAGTATATAGCCTAATTTCCCTAGAACAAATCTATTGTATAAATGTGATTATTTGTTCTGATAGATAGAAATATTTAAGAAACCAAGGCTATTACATTTTGCCATCAAGTATTTTTTTAAAAAACTCACTGAAAAGTACTATAGGTTAATGTCCTAATCCAAAATCCAAAACTTTTTGAGTGCTGACATGATGATCAAAGGAAATGCTCATTGGAACATTTCAGATTTCAGATTTTCAGATTAGGAATGTTCAACCAGTAAATATAATGAAAATATTCCAAAACACACACATACACACACACACACACACACACAAAATCTAAAGTTATGGAAAAACAAGCACCACATGTACTCACCATCAAATTGGTTTTAACTAATCAACACCTAAGTGCACATAGAGCAATAACATTCACTGGGTGTTGGACAGATGGGACGGGGGAGGGATGGTATATACACACATAATCAGTGCATGCCCATCTGGGGGATGGGCATGTTTGAAGCTCTGACTCGGGTGGGGCAAGGGCAATATACATAACCTAAACATTTATACCCCCATAATATGCTGAAATAAAAAAAAAAAACACTTCTGGACATAAGCATTTCAGATTAGTGATATACAACCTTTGGTACATATGGCTTAATACATTTTATTTTGCCAATATTGACTTACACATATTACCACATAGATTAAATTGGCGACAATGTTATTAAAAAGTAGAGAATTCAATGAGATATCACCTCAAACCTGTTAGGATGGCTGGCACAAAAAGGCAAGAGATAATAAGTGTTGGTAAAGATGTAGGAAAAAGGGAACCATGGTACACTGTTGATAGGAATATAAATTGGTACAATCGTTATGGAAAACAGTATGGAAGTTCCACAAAAAATTAAAAAATGTAACTATCATATGATCCAGCAATCCTGCTTCTGGGTATATATCCAAAGGAAATGAATTCAGGATTTCAAAGAGATATCTGCATTCTCATGTTCACTGCAGCATTATTTGTTGCAGCCAAGATTTAGAAACAACCTAAGCATCTGGCAACAGATGAATTGATAAAGAAAATATGGGGGGAGGGTGCACATGTACACACATGTGCACAGAGGAATATTACTCAACCTTTAAAAAGGAAATCCTGCCATTTGTGACAACATAAATGAACCCACAGGACATTGTGTTAAGTGAAATAAGCCAGACACAGAAAGACAAATACGATATGATCTCATTTATATGTAGAATCTAAAAAGTCAAATTCATAGAAGTGGTGGTTGTCAGGGGCTGGGAGGTGGGCAAAATGGGGAAATACTGGTCAAAGGGTACAAACTTTCAGTTATCCAGGAAGAATAACTTTAAGAGATCTAATGTACAGCATGGAGACCACAGTTAATAATACTGTATTGTATACTTAAAATTTGCAAATAGAGGAGATCTTAAATGTTCTTAGCACAAAAAAGATAACTCTGTAAAGAGATGGGTATGGGGCCGGGCGCAGTGGCTCACGCCTGTAATCCTAGCACTCTGGGAGGCCGAGGTGGGTGGATTGCTCGAGGTCAGGAGTTCAAAACCACCCTGAGCAAGAGCGAGACCCCATCTCTACTATAAATAGAAAGAAATTAATTGGCCAACTAATATATATGGAAAAAATTAACCGGGCATGGTGGTGCATGCCTGTAGTCCCAGCCACTCGGGAAGTTGAGGCAGCAGGATTGCTTGAGCCCAAGAGTTTGAAGTTGCTGTGAGCTAGGCTGATGTCATGGCACTCACTCTAGCCTGGGCAACAAAGCAAGACTCTGTCTCAAAAAAAAAAGAAAAAAAAAAGAGATGGGTATGTTAATTAACTTCATTGTAGCAATCAGTTCACCATGTATGTGTATATTAAAGTAGCACTCTGCATACCTTTATATATACAACTTTTATCTTAAAAGCATAGAACTGAATTTACCTGTTGATCTGAATCTGTTTTTAGTACAGATCTATCTGTAATCAGGACTGCCCTGGAGATCTGCCTGTAATGCACAAAATAGTAAAGTGGTGATACAGATTTCATGGATAAGTTTCATTTATAGTTATATAACCACCAGAAGGCAGTTTTAAAGATTTAAGTCAGGATAAAAGTGTCACCTCCCCAAACCAAGTCAAGTTCTGCTTTAATCTTTTCTTGGCTCGTGAAAGAAGGATGTGTGACCTACAGACAAACTCCAGCTGAAGCAAAGGAGTTGAAATGATGCTAAGTACCTCCAAAACCAGACTCTGTAAGAGTGGTAATACACAGACTGTATCTTTGGTTTGGTATACATTTGCATGTTACTTGAATAACAAAATCATATAGAAATGTCAATACAATCACACAGCTAAATTTTCCTAAGTTTCACCTTCTTTTGACTAATGAGTAGAGGGCTGTCTTACCTGTATTGCACATGTGAGCATGTGTTCTCAGAAAAGTAACTGTCCTCCACAAGGAAATGCTTAGAGATTATTCTCTGACCACAATGATCTATGATTGCTTTACATCTATAAAGAAGATAAGTATATCAAAAAAGTTTACATTAATGATTAAGAAAATGAACATAATCAGCTACCAGTTTTTAATCTAATATCAATTTCTTGTAAAGACAAGATTTAAAAATTGCCTACTATTCTGCCTTTTCTGATATAAAACTGACACTAAATTATAGAATATATATTTTTGCTGCTATTTTAAGGTCTTTTGAACTATAAAATTAACACAGAATACAACTTAAATACTTTTTTGAATGCCATTAATAAAAGTAAAGTTAGGAGAAATATTAATAGTATAATTTTAAACTTTCCCAATGTTTAGGAACATAGAAGCTTTTCCTTTGTTTAGAAAACAGGCTATTATTTTATCTTTAACAGCTCTAAGAGGGAGAGAAAAGTTGATTAAATATCTTGTTATATTTCACAGCTTATAAAACCCACTAAAGGCTTTTTATTTTTGTTAAGTGTTGCTTTCTCTTTTATTAAAGAATAGCTATCTGGTCACACATTTGATGTTTGAAACAGAAAATAAAGGGATGTAACTTCTTTTAATATCTGTTTTCACTTTACTTCAAAGGATGATCATAGAAAGGTTTCTTTCAAGTGCTGTTTCCAAATAAGGAAAACACTATGCACAGACATTACCAGGGTCTCTGTCATCTGATATGTGTTGGGACAATGAATCATACAGAACCCTCCATTGACCTTCTTTCAATGTGTCTAGATAAAAGGATAAAAATTAGAATCCATCTCCTTGCAGTGCCACAAGTTATAAATGTACTTTATAGGGCTCATTATCCAAACTAATGGACTAAGGGCGACATCCTTGAAATGGACTTACCAGCACTGACAAAGCCAGTATGCAATATTTCAGGAACAATATGCAAATGACTGTGTGTTTGGTATATCTTCTTATTATGGAAATATCAATTTACTTTTGTCACAGCTTCTCCTTTTGGGGCCAGAATTATTTTATCAGAAATACACTTATATGTTGCCCTCATAAAATGTAAGCAAATAATTTAAAACTCATATAGTATTTTAAATATACTGTTATAAGTTTAATAACTCTAAAATTAAATTAAATAAGTGATATTTACCAGGCATAAAGGCATTTTAAAAATGACTAAAATCCAAGAACAATGAGAGGAATTTAATTTGTATTTCCTAAAGGCAGTTTATGATAAGCTGATATTCTTTAATAAATGCCATACCACTGTCGTCAGGATAGACTATGATATTTACTCATGTTATATGTACATATGTTTTAACCAATTAACCATATTTTAATATAACATTTGCCACATTAAATTAATATTTATGTGATTGTTTCCATCTCATGTCTACTTCCTTTCTCTTCCCCACTTGTTTTTATCCATATCTCTTCACATTTCATTAAACTATAGCTCTTGTCTTATAAAATACTTAAGTAGATATAAGATATTTATACCCAGATATTTTCCACAATAATTATTTAAAAACCAAAAAGGTAAGTTATTCATTCAGTCTCCTATTTTCAAACATTCATATATCATTTGAAACACAATGTACTTCAGGCAATGGAGAAAAGAAATCTTCTGTCATTAAACACTGACCCCTATTTGTCCTGTAAGCACTAACAAGCCTTTTTATTATCTTTAATTCAAAGAATTATAGAAAGTCAAGAGGAAATAATTTGGGCAGGAAAAAAGGCGGTGTTAAATGTTCTACCTCTTGATAGGGGCTTGGGTTATATGGATTTATCATTAGTACTTAAGATTTGGATACTTCACTGTATGTAAATTTTATATTAAAAGAAAAAAGAAACAAAACAAATATTGACCTCTAGTTAATGATGTGCATGTTGAAGTGTTTACGGGGAATTTTACTTATGATCTGCAATTTACTGTGAAATACATAAAAATGATGAATCAACAGATGGATAGAGGGATGGATATTTGGGTAGATATGTGATTAAGCAAGTATATTGTAGAACATGGGGGTGGATATACAGGTGTTCACTCTGAAATTATTTCCACTTTGGTGTAAGTTTGAAAACATTCATCATAAAATGTTAAAACTGGAGAAGGGGTATTGGTGTAAATCTTGGACTCAAGTGTAATTCTTTGCAAAGGGTTCCCATTTAAGTAAACCACATAGTTAAACCTGGTCCTCAAGCTTGTGGAGACTTCCTTGCTTTGTGGGCTTCCAAACACTAAAAGGGATACTTTGGTGGTAGCTACACCTTTGGTGACAAGTAGACGTTAGTTTCAGAAGTTACAGTGTTAAAAGGAACCACTAGGGATTAATCAAAAGGTAAGTATGTGATGTGATGACTGTGAGCTCAACTATTCAAAGATAATATACTAATAATTATACCTATTTATGCTGAAGCTTCTGATGAAACAGTGATTTTCAAAGGAGGAGGAGGAGAAGGAAGCAAATCAGAATCACACCTGGGGGACTTTTTCAAATTATAAGTACCCCTGGAGATTCTGATAAGCTCCCAAATCCCAGGAAAGAATCACTTCCAAGCATGCCACTGCTACTGTTTTATCTTTATATTGTGCTACGCAGAGAAAAGTGAAGGGCTACAGACACAGACAAAATATTTCTGCAGACACTGAGGTGATGATTGCATATGCTCAGTCTTGGTATAATAGATGATAATAACATTATTACCACCTTATTGTCTCACTCTGAAGTACTAAGGCTCTAGGCCTAAGCAAAGCTGTTAAAACCCAAGACATGTTTAAGTAAGTGATAAGATTTGTTTTCCCCTCAGATACTTGACTTACTGTCATATATCCAGCCTAATTGGGAGAACAAGGAAGAAAAGAGTATTGCTTTCGGACCTAGACTTAGTCTTTGCATTATAAAGATTAATATAAAAAATCAGATGACATTTAAGTAATGGAAAACAGCAAAATGAAACAGCGCTGCCAGAGACATTAAAACACCCTCCTGCCCATCCCTCCTACATAAACCCAAGGAGGTCATTAAAGATTAACAGCATTTAGGATTTAGTTGAGGGCCTTGCTGAGCCTCATAAATAGTAAATTGAAAAGGAACATGACAGTTGCTCCCAGTTATAGGAACACAATGACCAAGCTGATCATAAGAATCACTGAAGCCAGACAGAACATTTCTAGAGTGAAGCTTTCTAAATTAACACATCATAATAGTTATTGAGTTCTTGGTTCAATGATAGTAGGGTATAAATAGAAAAATGATGATAAGGAAAAAAAAAATATACAGTAAGATGAAAACTCAGTATCTGGAATTTGCCCCGAAAGACAAAAATAACATTAAAACAGGTATCCAATCTCTATGACTTTCAGAATTAATATCCTAATTATATGGTGGAAAAAAATCAGAAATCACAAGTGAAATAATTAAGAGGAAAATATATTAATTAAGGAAATTAGAAGATTCCCAATCACTGAAGGAAAGAAAATAATTTTCCCTAGTCACTATGCCCTTCTGAGGTTTTTCAAACAAATTAGTTCAAATGCCATGCCATCCATGAAACTATCCCAAAATGCTTTCCACTCATTTTTCTTGGGTGAAAATCCACTCCAATAGTTTTAAACAACATTAACAGGTAGATAACTCTTAAATCTATGGTTTTCTGCTCTGACCTTTTTTTAGCTCTATATTCAATTTTTAACTGTCTATTATCTATTTCTTTTTGGGTAGACTCCAAGCTCCCTTCTGGTAAATATTTAATTGACAAATAAAAATTGTATATATATTATACAAGGCATACAGAGTGATTTGATATATACATACACTGTGTAATGATTACAGACAAATTAATTAACATATCCATCACTACCCATAGTTACTATTGGGAGGGAGTGAGGACACTTAAAATCTTCTCTTGCCAAATTTCAAGTAAATAATACAATATCAATACCAAAGCCCTTTTTAAAACTAGTATGCCCCAAGTTAAGTTTATCATTGTTCCTCACCTGCTCCCACTCCCTGAAATCCCTATATCAGGTGATGGCATAACCAGTAGAGTTTCCCTACCTCTCTCTTCCCACATCTAGTCTGCTATAACATTTTGATTCTACCTTATAAATATTTGTTGAAACTAGCCTCTTCTCTCCAACCCGTGGATACTACCTTAGACTAGTATTATGTCTAATAAGACAGTGGACTGCTAACAAACTGGTAGTTCATTTGTTCAACATAATCATAGGGTATAACAACTATGTGACAAGCACTGTTCTAAGAGGTAAGAATAAAAATGTCTTGCCCTATATGCCTCTAATTCTTGCTTGGGTGAGGCAAAGACAAAATATATAACCAAAATGTTTGTACCTTGATAATATCCTGAAATAAAAAATAAATAAATAAAACCAGCAAAAAAAAAATCTCAGTTTAGCAACAAACAAACTTTAACATTTTGATATTTTCAATAACTAATGTGAAATAAATTATTTTACCCATTTACCATAAAGACAAATCAAAGCAAAATGCAAAAAGAAAAAAAAAAGAAAAAAAAAGAAAAAAAAGTCTTGCCCTTGCCCTAAAGAAACTTCCAAAATAGTAAAGATTCACACCTAGACAATTTTAGGACAATGGCAAAGTCTAGTGATTAGAGATAAGGACAGGGCATTACAGCGTATTAAGGAAGGTACCTAACTCGGCTTAGGGTGGAAGGATGGAGAATCAGAGAATGCTCCTTGGAGGAAGTGATATATTTGCTACTTTTAAAGGATGAAATACAGTGAAGCAAGCAAATAAGGAGAAGAAAATCTCATGTAGAAGGACAGCAGTTGCAGGGGTAGAGAGGCCAGTAAGAGAAGAGTAGGTACAGAAACCTACAAGCAGTTCAGTATTATCTGACAATAAAATGGGAAGCAAGGAGGGAAGAGAGATCAGCCCAGAGAGGCAGGCACGGTCCAGGTTGCAGAGTCTCATGTGTCGTGTAAAAAGGTCTCAGACTTTATTCTGAAGTAATATAAAGCCACTAAGGCTTTTTAAATAGGGAAGGAAGGAACCAGATACACATACTGAACAGA